ATAAATAATTATATTAGACTTTGGTATGACTGTTTATTCCAATCTACGTAATACCAGCTCACATAAGTCGCTAGACAGCGGGCTGCCCATGGGTACCCCTCGTTTTTGTAAATAGGTCTTGTTGTTAAATTGGAATATGGAGTTGTAGCACATTCTCTGGAAAACGAAACCACACATCAATGAGTTTTTGAGCCACATGAACAAAAATCCATATGGGCTGACGCTGAAACTAGATCAATTAACTACCACCAATGCACACTTCCTGGACATAAACATCATGCTCAACAGTGGAAGTATTGATATGGGTATATATTATAAACCCAGCTACATCCCATGGTTTATACCGGCAAATTCAGCAGACCCGTACAATTATAAAATTGCAGCATTCCAGGCGTTGGTTAGAAGAGCATTTACGCACCCTTCTAAATGGAGTGACACGATAACTGAGATAACTAAGGACTGATTACACCTAATTGTGATAGCAAAGTCACTGATAAAGTGAAATGCACTGTATGTAATGCAATATTCAGTATACAACATGGTGGCCAATCAGACATCATGCAGCACATCACTACAAAGAGACAAATTATCAGCAAATGAAAATGTACATACTAAAGTGTCTGATTTTTCTTCCAAAAAAAGCAATAGATGAAATAGAAAAAAATCTTGCAGCTGATGAAGCTGTGATGTTCATAACGAGAGGTATTTAATTCCGCAAGCAAAATTGGTACAAACAAAAACTTAATACTATTCACAGCACAAAGTATTTTAATGCTCTCCAAACAGGTTCTTTACATCAGATCCCAACTTTACAACTTTATGAATTTTATATACATAGGCATTAAGTACTTGTCCTCCAAATAGTTAATTCACATGCGTGCGACAGTCAGACGTGGGTCATATTAACTTACACTAACTTATAACTATCTTAAATTAAGGAAGATAGAGAAATAGAAGAAATAGGGAAGGATAAGGAAATGAATAGAAATACCCAAGGTTTTCATAGCGACATGCTCTTGGGTAGGACACAACTTCGGATCTCCCTCTTATTTGTGACCCTTTTCTTATCATAACCTTTTGTCTATTTTTCTACTTTGTCATCTTTTCTCAAGGTTTTCTGTCCATAATCTTTTCTCTTTGATCCCTCAGCAACTCGCAGTCTCTGATTGTCCTTCTCAATTTCTGGAGCACTGCCTTTTTCCTGCCTACCTCTTTGGGATTCTCACCCAAACTGACTCTTTTTCTGTCCATTTGGCCCCAGTGCCCCACTCCCTCTTTTGTTCTTCTTATTTGTGGAAAAGATAATTCTATCCATGGGCAAAAGGGTTAGACAAGGAAGTTCTAGAAGGAATTCAGAACAAAGAAACAGGAAGGAAGGCTAGGATTAATTCAAAATAAAATATACAAAATATACAATATCATGGCTGATGGCCATTAAGCTACATTTGCTTATCATATATGCATACACAACCAGAGTTTCTGTTTAATTGACTACACATTGAAATAATTTGGAAACTATATGATGAACTATATGGCTGTTTTCAGAAACAAACTCAAAAAAGCTACTTATGAGTAAATATTGATCAACAGTTCCAACCATGGTGCTTTGAAGATAGTTCCAGTTTTAGTTCAATACTTCATCCCGGAAGAAGGCATCAAAACAATGGTTCTGTAGTTTTTAGATTTACCATATTAAACTGTAGACTAGCTTACAGAATATGTATGGCAACTAGTGACAAAGTGGAATGTTGATAAGATAGTTTTTGCCTTGTCAGCATATAGTAAAAATACAAATTTTGGTGGTAAGTCTAGAAGAGAAAAGAACAATATTTTTGATAAATTGAAATCAAAACTGAATTGTAGATTGATAGGTGTTTGATGTTCATCCCATATCATAAATAATGTTATACATTGTGCAGCTGATGCATTGCACATGGATGTACAAGCTGTTATTGAAGAACTATATTAGCATTTTTATATTTATTCTGTTAGAGTACATACACTCAAAGGTTTTTGTGACTTTTTGAATACCGAATAAAAGACAATGTTAGGACACTCAAAAATGCAATGGTTGTCTCTATACCCTGCTCTCAAAAGGATGAATGCAATGTACGAAGTTCTAAGGTCCTACTTCTTTTCCTTTGATAAACTACCACTGCTTCTGAAAAATTTCTTTACTAATCCAGTTTCAGAGCTAATAGCCACATTTCTAGAATGTCAATTTGAAATGTTTTATGCAACAATTTGTGCTATAGAAGGTGATAAAGTCACTCTTGCTGAAGCTAAATCTATTATTGAAAGCCTCTTAGAGAAACTTCAGTCCAGATGAGATAACAATTTTGCAACATGAGAAGAAGTCCTTACTGAAAACATTAATTGAAGAGTTATGCTAATTATGATTAAGATTACATTATAATAAATATATTTTAATTGAAATTGTGTGTTTCTTCCCTCAGTATTACGAGTCCTAGTTCACAAGAATATCCAAAGTGGACAAAAATATAAGTAATTAAGGACCAGATAAGCGTGTTTTTTAACTGATAATTATGGAAACATGTAATCTATTGTATAATCCACTTAACTTAGGTTCAAAGAATAGATAGAGAAGCAAATTTTTATCCATTGTTTGTAGAAAGTAATGTCTGTTTAATCAAGGTAAAAATATGTTAATAACTTAGTTATATTGCTATACTTGGACCAGAAGTTTTGTTTACTAAATATAGGTGTCTGCTAAATCCAGGTTTCACTGTATTAATTTATTACATTTAAGTCATTGGATGCATTGCCTGATAAAACTTCTTCAGTTAGGCTGCTGAAAGTTGATTAATTTATTTTTGATTTTGAAAAAAAAAGCCAGTTCTACTGCTATGTTGCTGTTTTTAAAATGCCTATTTTTATAAAAATCAAAATGTTTACTCAAAAATGACAAAACTGTAAATGAAGTTACAAAATTTAAGACAGTCAAATGACACATAATTCTATCTAAAAAATTTTACAAATACTTTGTTTTGTAGCAGCCATCTTAAATTTTGTTTTCAACACTCCCAAATTTTACCACACTTGGCATCTAATTTAAAATGGAAGTTGTTAAACTGTCTTTGAACAAAGCTGTTTTATGTGTTTTTATCAGACAATGCACCTATTATAAATATAATGATAATTTTAAATGCTACATACAGGAGTTGAAGTTATGTTTTTCATATTTCCAACACTTTCTGGTGGAGCTTCTTTTTCCATTGGAATCCATGCTTTATTATAAAATTTATCACTAAAATATTTTTTACATGGGAAAATAAAATCAGATTGATATCTATCATATAATTTAGCAGTTAATGGATACGATGTACATTTGATGAGCTTTTGGGCTTCAAGACACAATAACAATTCTTTAATCCATTGTGGATTCCCTTTAGCATGCTTTATTAAAAAGCTATAATATATAAATTCTCTCTTTATGATTCAATTTTAAATATAAAAAAAAGCTTTTAAATTTTAAAATGTTTTTCAAAATTATATTTCAAAATCTAACCTTAAATTATAAATTATCTAACTTAAAAAATTTCTTACTCATTTATTTTCTTATGAATTCCAATAACATTAAGAAAATGACAGGCAATTATTCCTGTAAAATTTGACTCAAGAGGCTGCAAAATAATGGTTGTAACTTGACCTTTCATTATTTTCTTAACAACACTTCTGTTAAAACCAGTCACACTAGTTGCTACTATACAAATAAGATGATGATAAGCACGAGCAGCATTGTATAACAATTTCCAAGAATCATCATCCATATTATGTGCATCATCAATTGCTATAAAAAGTGGCTGAGTTTCCATTAACTAAAATTTAAAACCAAAAATAAGTAAACATATATTTATTGAATATATGTTAAGGGATATTTTATCATTAAAATATTTTAAACTTGGAAATATGAAATCAGATTAATATCTATCATATAATTTAATTGTTACTGGATATGATGTTAGTGATGAAAATAATATGTGATGTGTATGGCTGTTGTCTTTCATCAAGTAAGTATATTTAGTGAGAGTTTCTTGGAGTAACTTTATGAGAATGTTAATTAATTCTGTTTCTATAGTGTCACTCGTAACTCATTACATTGCTAATGTTTTCATTGGTCATCATGTTACACTGTGTATGTTTTCAAGAGTGACTCCTTTTGAAGTACTGTCAATGAGAATGCAATTTTTTGTGCAATTTAATGTTTGGCGATGTTATTGTGTCTGTTCTGCAACTTTTTATTTGATATGTTCAAGCATTATGTATGGAATAAGATTGTTTTGTATAATTGTTCTTTTCAGATCAAAACTCTTCTGTTCTGTAACAGTAAGATGTAGGCATTTTTGTATGTAGTTGTTATGTAGTCTCTGTGTGTATGCACTTATATCTATTTCTAATTTTGTGATGTTGTAGTAGGTACAGATGAGGAATTTGTTTGTATCTTAAGTATTGTATCTTTTGTTTAAGTTGCTTTGTGGCATATATCTCCATGTGTGCTTGAGCAGTATACATATTTAAAACATGGATTTTCCCACACTCCATTCAACATCTTTCTGTTGATATGTCAGGTTCAACTCAGCCATTTCAAATTAAATACACAACAGTTGGCAATGAGGTAAAGATCACGAACTAACTTATCAAACAAACATTTATCAAACATGATTCTGAGCCATTATTGTCAATGCATTCGACTGTGAGTATATCCGCTTATCATTAATTTTTTATTTCTTTCCATCGTTCCAAGTTTTCCTTGTCTCTGGATATCAAAATGAATCAGGAGCAACTGCAACTCCTAATCAAATCCTATGAATAAAAATCAACAAATGCTCATAAACTGATCATTATCAGTTCAACTGTCTAGAAACCTTCTGTAGGCAGAGGAAACAACAATCAACCTCAAACCATTATCAATATTTCCCACATACTTCCCTTTAAAAACTTCAATCTGAAGAAGGAAACATTCAAAATATTATCATCAATGCTTTGAAAACTGTATAACAATGAAAGAATTTTTTCAAGATAAGAAGAAAAGTGCTCAAATGTTGCTCAACTTCATAAGTGCAACAAATTATAACATCCTAGCATTTTTTTGTTATCTCTATAGAAGTGGTTTGCTTATAAACCTATAGCTAAATGTTTGTAACTCAGCCATTCCTAACATAGGGAACAAATGCTGTCTAACAGCCACCATTCTGAGTCAGATGCTGCTTGTGAGTTACTCTTTGCTTTATTTATCCCTGTAAAACTTACTAGCATGAGTGCCCACCATGTTTGATGTTTATATTCTCATCAGTAGCATATACGGTTCATTGAAACTACTGAGCTCTCTCATCTCAACAAAATGGTGACTAACAAGAGAGATATTATTATTAATACTCTTTACTACTTCAATAAATACAAAAATTATATTTTTTATAAATTTACCTTTTGAAACATTGCTAGCAATAAATCAAATAGCATATTTTTCACTGTTGTTTGGTCTTGTGGAAGTGGTTCCTTTGGATAAGGAAACTATTTTAAAAAAATCAAAATTAACTGAGTTTTAATAAACCAAATATATCTATGAATAATTCAAATTACAGACAATTTCAATTAGAAATTTTTACTGTTTAAGTTTATTACTAATATAAAAAAAATTATTACAGACAAAAAAAACACTATATATTTAATACTTAAAAAATTTGTATTTGAATATATAATAACAAAATTTGGAAAAATCCAAGAAAACAATGGTTTGAACACTTGTAAATTTAGTAAATTCTAATAAAACTTAATATATAATCTGAATATTCTGAGATTAAATTTTTTAAAATCCACATAAATTTTATCTATACTAATATTATAAAGAGGTAATGTTTGTATGTATGTATGTATGTAAGTTTCTTTGCAGCAGGTAATCTCCGAAACTACTCACCCAATTTCAAAAATTCTTTCACCAATATTTAGAATGGAACCTCGGGGTGGACATAGGCTGTATATTATTCCGTTAAACATTCATATAAATTAAATGATATCATCTATGGTTAAGGCTTTTTTGTCCAACAGATGGCGCTACAAGTACGACACCCTAAGTTTGCTTTTCTGTGAGATGCTTTTCTGTGAAAATGAACTAAAGCGGATCATCTTCTATCTATCAATATAAATAAAAATGTAATGTTCATTTGTTCCTACCGATTCCTTTGAAATTTTGACATAACACTGCATTCGAATATGCACATGTTCGAATGCATGTGCATATTCATCTAATGAACTGTAAGAAAAAAACTTTCCAGAAAACTGAAGGGAGATGGTTAAGATTAAGGCTTACGGCTTCTATTTATACTATTTTAGATGCGGGTTTTTGCGTTTTTGATTGCGTTTTAATAGGGTACGTCAACAGAATGTACACTAAGAAG